AGTTGTATTGTAACAAATGAATTTATCATGTTTTCTTTCACAGGAAGATGAAGAAGAGTTTGAGGGCGCTCTTCATATGTACCAAGAGGCATTGGAGATTTTACTTCCTGTTTTAGCATGTAAGTGATGTTCCTGTATGTTAAGTGAATTAATCTCTCATTTGCTTCTGTCGATGTTAAGATACTCATCTTTATGCCCTCTTTTGTAATTAATGGACCAGATGAGGTTTGTAGCCGGAAGTCGTGAAGTATCGTCTCATTAAATTGGGACAATAAATTGACAAAGGGATCACCCCATATAATCTGGTCATTAATGTACTTTATATATTGATGTCTTATGATTTCCCTTGTTTCAATTAAAGAGCGACGCTGTGATCCATAACTTTTTTCTCGTCAGTGTTTCCTGTAAGCCTAATTTACATGCAACTTGTTCATTAACCTACATGTAGCTAAATTGCACAGTTGTTTTGATTATATAGCTTGATTCTCTTCGAGACATTTACAAATGCTTTGAAATGTTTTTCGTAGGTGTATATACTAAAATGCAAAATTAATACCATACATGAGTGACAATTCAGAGTCACATGTACATGCATGTTTGATGTACCATTTGCATATTTGTGTCTTGTTTTGTTTACAAACCATCACATCTTTCACACTGTATTTGGCTCAGTTCATGGCAAAGAACATAGGGAAGTGTTCACATTAGAACAGTACTACACAGGTTTGACCTAAAAAAGTTTTTTTGTATTACGTGTTACAATGAGCATGTGCAAATGACATTAGATAACTGCAACTCGATCGCCTGAGTCAAACTATTGCCGCCATACTGTCACGTGGTGTACACTGTTCAACCAATCACTAACTTTGCAAAGGCTGGTTGTACAAAAGCAAAACAACAACAAACACTTTGGTGAAATTTTGCAAGTTGGTGTTTGGAATCAATATAATCGATGAGGAAGTTGAGAAAGAAAGTGAAATTTTTTTGTGTTTGTTCTTCACTACAAAAGAAAATCTTAAAAAGAATTAAGTTCAAGTGTAGGGGTTAGTTCACTCATGTAGGCTTGCTGTGAGGTGAGTTTCATGCAGTGAGGCTGACAATAATATGCACAGTCTAATTCAGCTGACAATAAAATCTTTATTATAAAATTGTTATATCTTTAATGAGATGCAACATTGTCTTCTTAGGCTGGCAATGAGATGAAACATTGTCTCCTTAGGCTGGCAATGAGATGAAACATTGTCTCCTTAGGTTGGCAATGAGATGCAACATTGTCTCCTTAGGCTGGCAATGAGATGAAACATTGTCTTCTTAGGCTGGCAATGATATGCAACATTGTCTCCTTAGGCTGGCAATGATATGCAACATTGTCTTCTTAGGTTGGCAATGATATGCAACATTGTCTCCTTAGGTTGGCAATGAGATGAAACATTGTCTCCTTAGGCTGGCAATGAGATGAAACATTGTCTTCTTAGGCTGGCAATGAGATGAAACATTGTCTTAGGCTGGCAATGAGATGAAACATTGTCTCCTTAGGCTGGCAATGAGATGAAACATTGTCTTCTTAGGTTGGCAATGAGATGAAACATTGTCTTCTTAGGCTGGCAATGAGATGAAACATTGTCTTCTTAGGCTGGCAATGAGATGAAACATTGTCTTCTTAGGCTGGCAATGAGATGAAACATTGTCTCCTTAGGCTGGCAATGAGATGAAACATTGTCTTCTTAGGCTGGCAATGAGATGAAACATTGTCTCCTTAGGCTGGCAATGAGATGAAACATTGTCTTCTTAGGCTGGCAATGAGATGAAACATTGTCTTCTTAGGCTGGCAATGATATGCAACATTGTCTCCTTAGGCTGGCAATGATATGCAACATTGTCTCCTTAGGCTGGCAATGATATGCAACATTGTCTTCTTAGGTTGGCAATGATATGCAACATTGTCTCCTTAGGCTGGCAATGAGATGCAACATTGTCTCCTTAGGCTGGCAATGAGAAGCAACATTGTCTCAGGTTGGCAATGACATGCAACATTGTCTCTTTAGGCTGGCAATGAGATGCAACATTGTCTCCTTAGGCTGGCAATGAGATGAAACATTGTCTCCTTAGGCTGGCAATGAGATGAAACATTGTCTCCTTAGGCTGGCAATGAGATGAAACATTGTCTTCTTAGGCTGGCAATGATATGCAACATTGTCTCCTTAGGCTGGCAATGATATGCAACATTGTCTTCTTAGGTTGGCAATGATATGCAACATTGTCTCCTTAGGCTGGCAATGAG